ACATCACCGTCAGCTACAGAAGATGATGTTCAGGTCTCGAATGCCTATCACTGTGAAATACACGTGATTCCGGTCTCTCTGTCCCGTTGGATATTTTCACCAAATTCTTTTCCAACAAACCAAAGAAGCTGATTTCTCATTTAGCAGCCGAACGGTATTGTTAACCGTAGGTTAAAAAAACGCACTGGAGCTCACTACACAATCCGCTTCAAAAGACAGTAACAGTAAATAGGTAAAGTTAACCTCATCTAACACTCCGTACTTCCTCCTTCCCAATGTGGAAATATACGTCAGCGAATATCAGGATGCTGCGGTTATTGCTTGATGGGAGAAACTCTATCCTTCTGAACTAAGGTCATCAACTGGCTGGACAGACCTGAATCCGAATGAAGCCCCATGTAGGCAGCAAAGCGTGATTGTGCCAGGAGTTTCATGAAACAAGGGAGACCAATGCAATTGGGGATACTCAGATGTTGGGTTACTGACGATGCAGGCCTGCGATTTGACCTTTGAGCCGACGGTCTTCCTGACAGCTTCTGAAGTACATACCGTAGAAACTTCTGCCACACGATCTGTTAGGCATCTCCTCAATCGCAGAACGTCGTGCAACCTAAGTTATCATACGAACAACTGGTATGATTTGGTTAGAGGGATGAAATGTGAGCAAACTAACGCCGATTAGTAATTTGCTGCAAGTGACAGATCAAGGCTGAACAGATGAGAATGCGCGAGGGATCTTGAGACTACAACATTTTAGAATCTACCGAAATCACAAAAACATTTCCAGCTTCTTTTTAAACACCTCGGTGGATAGATTTCAGTGTACTGAAGCCAGTTTTATGTTGTCACGTTAGCGATTTCATTAACTCTCGAGATGAAACTAAAATATCCTTAGAAATGCAAAATTTCAGTTTATACTTCTGAAAATTTACCTCCTCATGTTCTGTGACGTAAAATGTACCGAAATACAGTCGCTGTGTTTTTCACTGGAGATCATCATATTTGCATCTTCATCATAGGCATGCCGGCGACAACTGCTAAATGAGCAATGGGTTTATTGCTTGGGGACATCTCGCTATTAACACAAGGTTTTTTTAAGCCAAGTGAGTAGATGACCAGGTTGGCCCAGAAGAAGCAATCAGCAAGGTAACTTCAGCAGAACATTAAATCAGTATTGGATGTTAGTTAAAATGTCTTGTAGGTTAATGAGGGTGCTTAATTGTTACGATCGATGGGGTGGGAGGATTGTATATCATTCTAATTGGGTTTGGATCTGTGATCTTGAGGTACAAGGCAATGAAGCGGATGACTGCCCGAATGCGTCATTTGACATTTCTGTCAGTCTGTGTATATTACCAAGCGCTATGAGAGCTGGTTAGAGAAGCACGATTACGTGGAATTTGGCTGACTTCGATTGTCGGCTTCAGGTCCAAGTTACTTCTACTGATTACTAATTTTCGCTGATAACGACATGCGTTAGCCCGACTGATTTAGACCCGTTCGGCATGCAATCGCTAGTTCTACCCCTCCTATATTATTCACACCTGGATGCATGACGACTTCTACCTCCTTGGCCATCAGAGAGTGTAAAGTGAAACGTAATCCCCGCCTCGATATGTCAAGATATTCCAAATCTCTTTGGTATTTCGTGTCCAGCAAATTACCCATCTTCGTCGAATTTTATACTAGCGCCCATCATTGAGCTGCGTTTGTCGTTTCTTCTGTTCCACTTGTTGGTCATGACAGGAAGTCCTCATTCGGTTTGTCCATTTGGGACCTTAATTTAGTTGGTAAATTTTATTAGGTAAACGGTCACCTGTATTATCGGAAAAGGATTCTACATGTTCTACATCAGTGAAGAGAGCTGTGCTTCCCGTCTGCATGTTTTGCATCTTTTGAACAGGTTCAATTAGAAAAAAGGTTGACAGAAACTCAGTAACTGCACCTATCTGGTGTGCTCCAAGAAGAGCGAAACCAGTCGTGGGCTGTCAAAGAGTTTTCAGAAACCTTGTGAATAGTATCCTTTTCTCAATTTGAGTTGCTGTTCGATCAAAAAACGTCCTTTTTCAACTAGACGATAGTGGGGAGATGCATACTGCGTGAGAATGGACAAACGAATAGTTCAAATTTGATTTGTGTTAATGGGTGAATTTTTGTTTATCGGACGGTGAAAGAAGTGTAGCGTGTTTGAAACGGGCTCCGTCTTCATATTGCCTTTGATGTGAGGATTCAAATTGTTGGGTTAATTGTGAAATCCTTTGATGTTTATCGTTGGATCAAAGAGCGGTGTCATCTACTTAAGGCGTCATATATCATATATCACGGAAAAGAGCGGATTAACTTTGTGGTTGCATTATCCGAAATAACCTCTGACTGGATATTTCTGTTATTCTACGTAGAAAATACCTGCTTAAGATCTGGAGGAAATACTCACTGGAAAATTGATAAGTTTACCGGGCTTACGTGTTCTGGCAAACATAGAAAACTAGATATTTTGCAAAAAATTTGATTTACATTTCTGATAAACATCTCCTTTCAGTCCTTAATGTTTTGCACAATATTCACCCTACCTTACTAGTGTCTGTTTGAGGCGAGTTCAACAGGGGCAAGATCTTCTGGAGTTTCTTGTTCCTGGAACCGACAACACATAGTCCATCGTAGAGCCATATACATCTGTGAGCAGTTACAGTTCATCATATTTCCTATGGTGCCTTGTGAACGGATCCTAGTGAAATCCCCTGTTTGTAGTATTAGAAAAGCTCGCACAACAGATCACTGCCTAAAGATAGAAAATACAAAACGACACATTGCTAAGCAACAGATGCCACGTAAAGTGCACTGCCCTACGCAACAAACTAATTACAGGGCATTGTCAAGAGCGCAACCCATAAGAAGTGGCTATGATTTTCGTACGACCCAGATGAAGCTTCAAACCACCTCAAACAGAAACTAAATTTTGCCTTAAACCGCATCTGTGATGGATTGCGACAGCCCGAGAGATTTTGTTTTACGTAATTCTCAGGACCGCGCTTCTAACTCATACGCCGTATGCCATTTTACTTGAAGTTGCAGTGAAGCTACAGTAGTATTACTAAGGTTCTTACGAGCCCCATGAGGACTTCTAAACCCTGTATAGACTTCTCGATCTAGGGAATCAGTGTCATAGGCCGTAACTAATAACTGGAGGCAGTCGATTGTCAAACATGTCTATGATATGGGGCCTTTGGTCGACCCTTCACATGCGCTCACCACACTGCTACGTAATGGGATTCCGAGAATGCTGGCCACTAACAAGGAGCATATGAATAAGGACTACCGGCTCAACCCGTCCCTCTGTAACCCACACCTCAGAACACGTCGATGGATCATTCTTTTGGCATTGGTAAAATTTAGCGTTGCATATACAGTGCTCTACGCTGGCACTTTGTTCTCACATGGTAACTTGACCACCGCATGGGTAAAAACTGTCATCAACAGCAGCCTCACATCAGTGGTTTAGTTCATTCTAAGAGACCAGAAAGTACTCTTAGTGTATCTTTCCCTTGCTTCACACATCTATTCTCTTGGGTAATCCATAAGATAATTTCCACCAAAATATTCACACAGTTTTGGGAGGCCAGCTATAGGCTGCAAGCTGTTTTCTATATAAAGTTTAACTCTCAGCTTAGCGGTCATCATGTTTATCTTATATACAGGACGCAATTTTGCAATGGGACATGCCGCCAGAATGACATGGCGGAAAACGAACTGTTTCTAAGAGCCACACCGTCGATCCAAGTCATTCAGGAATCATTTAGAACAAAACGGTATAAAACTATAGTATCCGCTGAGCACTAACGGAGAAACGTAATTCGGGAGCAAGTCAACTTCAAGTTAGGGTACTTTACATCGAGAGGGTGACCAAATTTGACATCAACGAGGGAAGAGTTTTCCTTTTGTGTAAAGGCAGTGGTCAGTTAACTAATTCAAATCGTTCAAAGCCTCAGAAGTCAGCCTACCCTCAACCTGTTTGTGAAGACATGGTATGGCCCGTTTTGCAAGAATAATGCGGATTTAGTGGCTTTCTACATGAAAACCAAAAGAACGGTGGCAACATGTCTACACATGATCCTCTGCTGGAGGCGCGATCAATTGTTAGCGTTTCATCAGGGAGTTGACGGCTACATAAAAGCAGTTGTGTAAACATTCTCGTGATTTTCAGACGGTGTAGGCTAGCGTGCACTGAAATAATCGACCTATCTTGGTGGAACTCCCAAAAATTCACGGCAAATGTCCATTCAATAGTGTCAGTTGAAAGTCTTCCGCATTCCCTAGGTTTCAAAATTATCTTTGTTTTCAGACGTCGGAGATTTTTAAGTTGGAGGTAGCTGTTGTCCTTTTTTCACACTGTATTCCGGAAGGCAGGAGCATTCCGTTAACCTTCAGTAATTCAGAAAAAAACACTTCAACGATCGCTTCAAACGTGTGGCTTATTGAATATTGGAAATGATTCCAGTCACATATGCTGCGCGTTCATTCGTACGGCTCTGACTTCATTCTATATCGTACTGTACACAATTTATTCAGATTTTCGAATATACGTCACTTCCATGCACTCCCGTAGTCTTGGTCAGTGACCTCTGTAAGAAAAAAAGGAGTGAAGAAACGCAACCTAGTCCACCTACTACATAACGGTAGGGCATCTTTCGTGTCAGGAATAGTTAATACCTGATTCACACGTCTTCGTTGATTATGGATGGACGATAAACTACTACACTTCATATTCTCCTAAATTGCCAGTGAATTTGTAGACGATTGAGATCTCACAATATCCTGTCAGCATAAGTCATTGAGTTTGCTCAGAACTCTAGCTGCTTCTTCAGATAACAGTTCGTCTACCTCCGAAGTTGAGTGGCATTTGATCGAGGTAAACTTCAATCCCCGAGGTAATGGAACCACTTGCTTACTAACTTCATTCACAACGAAACGGCTGTTAGTAAGTGTAAAAAACCGAAACAAGTGAACTATTCATCGTTTATTTTATCTTATGAAATGGAATGGACGAAACAAAGGTAGACAGAAGGCATAGAATACACCAAGCCAAAAGTGTTGCACATTCAAAATTGTGATAAGTTTGTAGATGATGAACAACTAGGCGGCCTGAAAATGTGAAAATATCGGGCGATAGACACAGCCATGGTTTCATTTTATTGAAAGACAATAAGTTGCTTTTTTGATGAATTAACTGAAGAAATGAGGAGACTAAAAAATAAGTCACAGCACATATCAAGAGAAGCACGCGCCAGAGGTTCAAGAAGAAGGAATGAACCTGTCGTTAATTCAGCTGTGCAAACTGTGCTCAACACAAAGAGCGGCCAGTTCCTTGCAGAACTCTTCGTACACAACGGCGCATAGAACCATATTTTTTGTTTCCTGCCAAGAAACAGTCTCTTTTGAAGACGGCTTTAATGATTTGGACTTCGACATCTTGGGTTGTTTGCGCCGTGAACGCTTTCTAGTCGGATTGGACGCATTGGATAACTCGTCAAAGCTAGGATCTGGAAGCCAAAGAAAACGGCTTGGACATTCTTCACTATTGAAGCTGGCAGATAGACGAGTTCGATTGGCTTCGTTCACGAATGGATTGCGATTTATAGGAAAATGTTTGTCTTTCTGTGCGGCCTGACTGATATTTTTGGATTTGGTCCTCCTACTGGATAGTCTGAATAGCCGACGGAAAAACGATGGGTTACGATGAGCTTCTGGAGCTAAACGGGAAAGGAAGAGACAATTATGAAAGAATAAATTCAGTTTTGAGGGTGCCGCTTCTGAAATTGCAAACTACCGCGACCTACTAAACTCTACTTCGGACAGTAGAAATCTCACTCGATTGTGATCGATCACAACGGATTCACAGCGTTGCAACATGCATGAGACAGAAAAACTAACCAACTGAATCACCTCATTCGAAGTTATTCCATCAGGTTTCGCTAGTAGGTGCAACTTTATAGGGCCAATCCACAGTACCACACACGTAATTCACTCTACATTTCACAAAAAAACAACTTCCCTACCGGGTAACGTTCCGAACATACACCGGAGAATTGGAGCCGTCAAGTACACTGTTTCACTCCGTGCACCGCTGGGCTAAGGACATTAGGTTTGTAAATCCAACGTCCGCAAAAAAGTAGAGCACTAATCAACAAACCTGTCACATTGTTGACTGTCGGTTCCCTAGTCGGAGATCTCGGAACTATGTACATCCGCGGTTGGCAACACTGACGGCCATGAACTAACCATGTGCTCAATGGCATCCATGTACCACGATGCCATTCCTAATCTGCGACCCAGAGGACTCAAAACTACAACACGCCAGTTTGCTTCACCACCAAAATATACATATTCAAAGTGCTTGTCACGACATCAAACAAACTGGAGTCGGCTCTTCTGAGAATCTATGCAGTTCGGTGATATGTACCTTGTTAGATGTGATCATTTTGACCGAAGCCTCAGGAAGAAACAAACGGGTTGTGCCTTCTGCGGTTCATTATTGAAGAACAGCTGAAAGTTCAGAACCTTGTTGCTTTTCAGATGTCAAAAAGTTCATGAGAAAACGTTCCTTTTACCAGGCACGAGCGGTTTTCTAACCGAGAAGGAACAGAGGAGGACATTTGGCACTTTCGAAGGAACCGTTAAAAATGCTGTAACTGGACCTTGTGATTCATAATCAAATAGTATTGTAAGCCGAATTCACAACAGGACAAATGGTTACGGATTTGAGCGAGGATATGATTGTGTGACGGCACCTGATCATATAAACACAAATTCTCAGGGTTGAAAGTAAGTGAAAACCATAGACCACAACTAGCTGAGGGATGTCTCACCGAAGTACACAGTGGTGCTTGATGTATATGCAAATTTGGAAGTTAAGCTCATCTTTCTGATAGTTCACATCCACATTCGGAGGCTATAGCAAAGTGATGAACTGAACCATGGATTCCCATCCCCCTTGCCAACTAATCGATCTTCATAAAGCGAATGACAGGGTCCAAATGTTTCAGCGTAAAAGGGTTATCGGACTGTTTCTCAGATGGGAGCATTAAGGTCAGCCATGATGCATATTCTTCATTGTTCGCTCCGCATTTCAGCTAATCCTCAAGTGAATGAAAATTTCAAATGCATCAGGGACCAAAGAATGTCACCACACCTGGATATGGCAAACAGTCGTAACATATGAGCATATCTAGTGCATGCGGAAATGGAACAAGTAGAGAAACTTTTCTGGAGTGAAGCAACGTGAAGGCTGGTCGGCAAGGGGCAATCTTTCATGGCAGTGATGGTAGGTTGATATGACGTAAGTTTGTACGTGCACGCGTTGGTTCGTGTGTTACAAATTCAACACACTGCTTCCACTAGTGCCGCTGCATGACACGGTGAGGCTAATTAGGTAGACGAAAGAGTGAAACCACTGCGCTCGACATATGCTGGCTGGGCATAGAACTGAGGTTTTTCGGTATGTAGTCATTTCGTGTGTGAACAGATACATAGTCGAATATTCCGTGAGTGCAAATATTCGACCAAATGGTAGTCCATCCAGGTAGTAATCAAGTTAAGACTGTATGATAATATTTAGAAGTCTTGCCACCTGCGAAGAATCCCGTATCTCGGGCATGGACACCATATGATGCTGAACCTAATTAACAGCGCGTAGCTGAAAAGCGCCCTTCACCCATCCAGAGAAACGTTAGCAACACATATGCGGTGGTTGGATTGAGTATTACAATAATCTTACATTGGCTAGAAATTCGCTCCACAAAATACAACGATGCTAGTAAGGCCAAAGGGACGCATTTAGATCGGAAGCAGAGAGACACCGTACCAAGAGTGATCGGGCTATGAAGCGGTCTGGGGCTAAAGTCATACTGTCCTCTGCGATAGAGGCATGAAGGCAAGGTATTCCTCCAGAAGACCAGCATGTTCGTAGTCATGGAATTAGTGGTACTGCCTTCCTTCAAAAAGGACGGTTAGCCCTAGAACCCACATTCCGATCGCCCAACGGCTGATCGTGACGGCCAGCGTTTTACGCAGTACGGTCGAAATAGTTTTAAAACCAACTGACGCTACTCAAAGAGCAACTTCTGTCCGCAGCCGCATCAGAAGTGAGATAGTAACGCCCTAATTCATGAGCTTCCGAGTTGGCCAACATCCTAGTAGCTCTGAAAGTCATACTTTCATCTCTGAGCAGGATCTCCAAAGAAAACCCTACTGCCCGCAGTCAGAATTTCGAGTCAAAGGCTAGAAATAGGTTAGCTGAACCAAACCCCGTTCCTTGGCATGGGTAAATGGGAGTTACTGTTTGTACATACAACTCTTTGTCCGCTGTTATTTCCCGCACCACACAAGCAAACGTTGCTTGGTCATTTATCTGTCGGTTATCTAACCGATGTGTCTTATGAACCCAGTTGCCGAATAACCCAAAAGATCATTTCAACATAGGAATTTTTAACGCCCATACTCTATGTCACACTAATAAACACGTAACGCTAGCCGATCCTTTATATTCCATTAAAATTGATGTACACTGTGTCTCCGAAACACGCATACAGGACCCAAGCGTGGTTATGCATCTCACAATGACAAGGACGAACTCAGCTGTTTCACATTTCCCCATCCGTTTGTCCAGTGATCCGGAAGCGATGACTAATGGAATACATGGCGTAAGAGTTGCACTCAGCCACAGGATTGAAGGCACTCTGCTGGAGTGGATCCCAATGAACAGTCGTCTTTGTGCCGTCTAGTTATCCAGCTCAATCAACCCTAATGCCTCTTGACGTAAAACGAGGCTTGGTTGTAGTATCGGCCTATGCCCAACGACGATGAGAAGAATCATTTCTACCGAGAGTTATTCGGGCTCACTTGTTAAGGAAGAAGCACTGGCATAGTGATCCTAGTGGGCGATACGAATGCCGAAGCCGGCCTCTGAGCTCCTTGGAATCACACCTGGGTGGTCGATTCGAAGTCGATGTTAATCGTATAGGCAACGGTTGTGTGCTGATCATGAACCGTTTCTGACCAGCCCGAACGTTCAGCGTAAACGTCCGAATCGCGTAACCTGGCGGTCACCAATTGCAAATCAACACTGGATCCAGCTGGATCGCGTGACCATCAGCCACCGGGGGAGAGCCATTCCTTCTGGGGCATACAATTTGATTCCGACCACGCCATAAAGCCAGAAAGCCTGAAATTTCGCCTCCCTTCAGACCCTCAGAATGCCATTTCACATCTTCCGAGAACTACTATAGCCCAGTAGAATCGCTCTGAGGTAGCTCACCCCATTCTACAGTAACCCATGCGATGGTAGTCAGCATAGATGAAGTATGGCAAAATGTGGAAGGAACCATGCTAGCGGCGTTCAGTTCTGTCTGTCTACTCCTCCGATACGGTCCGTTGGCAACCGGATATCGCAGAGAACTCTAGCAGTGACGGATGTCAAGAAATTCATACCATTCATACCTCAAGTTCTAAATAGTAAAGAGCCTAAGGAAAGACTGAGAGGTTTGGTGGACATTGAAAGCCCAGGAGATGAAGAAGGCTCTTGCTACCGGAAACGGACGTGTTCTATATCAGTTGATACGATCGACTAGCCACAGGAAAGCAACGGACGTTGAAATGATAACCAAAAAAGATGGGCAGTTCAACCGCGAAAACGTCGACTGGAACGTTGATTAGGCCAAGTACTTCGAAGAACAGTTTAGCTGGCCTCTTGCAACAGTCTCTGAGTAGCTCATTGAAGCAAATGGAATGTAAACCCTAGTCGCCCGTTGAGAGAAGAAGCAAAGTACGAAATATCCGAGAAGGCATCAGGATCGAACGGTCTATATCCAGTCCTCTTCACAAAAGACGGCGGATCTCTGTTGACGTATCTAAGGAAACTCACTGGCGAAATACGGAGTGAGGGAAACGTTCCCGCAAAATAGGGCATATCCCATCATCAAAAGGGTACGAGGACCCTGTTTGAAAGCCACTGTAGCATCGGCTTGGTAGCTGTGGCATCTAAGGTCTCTCTCGTCTCATCTTTTGCAGGTTGACTTAACACAGGAAGAGACGAAGCTGGATTCTGTCCTGGAAGTGGATACGTCGATCATACACCTAACAGATTCTTGAGCGGCGACACTGCTTCCAGCACCCAACAATGGTAGTCGCCTTGACTTGAAAGCCACCTAGGATTCTGTGGCAGTGTCTTTGGAGAAAAGGTGCTCTCCATAAATTCTTGGACATCATCAAGGCGCTGTACGCACACTCGCGGACACGTGAAAGTCTACGGGAAGCTCCCATTTGAGTTCATTACATCGAGCGTTGACATGCAAGACATGGTGGGTTTTAACTTTAAGCTTGGAGGTAAGACAATTGAGTTAGTACACAAATTTGCCTACTTGAGCAAACCCGGTTGTCTAGTCAAACATGATATTTCCATCCGGGTTCGGAAGGCCAGATCAGCTTTCGAGAACCTGTGTGGGAGCGATATCAGCGTATCAGTCAATGGTCGACTTAACAATACTGCGGTGTGCTCTATACTACTATACAGGTCAGAAACCTGACCGATGCGCACTAATAACATAAAAAATGGTCTCAGTGATTGACCATCACTGTCATAGGAGCATTGCCTAATCTGATTGGGACACCAGATCAATAATGCTGAAGTAAGTTGAATGGTTTTCCGAAGAAGTAAATCGTTCGCGATAGATGAACTGATCACACTCCAAAGGTTGCGCCCCTCGTTCGTGCTCTGAATGATAGACCTTCTCGAACAGCCCTTTTCGCACAAATACTCGAAAGGTAGAAACGAGCCAGTGGAGGTTAAACACTGACTTGTCACCGAAGTATGAAGGCCTTTATTAGCAAACTCGTCTGCGCTGGTCATTGCCGTCTCCCCAGATGAAAACCCCAAGACGAGACACCAATGGTTAAAGACACTGTTAGACATGATCTAGTCAAGCCCTCATGACGCTCGTGCACCCAAGTTTGTTACCTTTAATCCATACCTTCCCCTTCAGTCTCTTCAATGAAACGTCCTCTGACATACTTGTTTTTACCCATCAGTTATACCGGTTACCGTCTCCAATGCGAAGCTTTCTACCCCATCTTCCCAAATCGTTGGTGAACAAAACGTTGGCAGCTAGAAACGCTGTACAGTAATTGCGGGGTTTTTATAGCTGATGATGATGATGACGATGTAACCTTGGTCCGTCTCACCTTTTGCGCGTAGCCATCAGTAAACCCAGCGTACCGAATTTTACCTTCTTGCCTATAGGGATACTAATAGGAATGTAGACAAACTGGGGCTCCAATAGAAGTTCATATATTACGTCTAATTCAAAATGGTCCAAAAAATTAGTCAAAACATAAATATGGGTAAGCGAATCTACTAGCTATCACATGGTTTCTCACATCGGGTTAGTTATTAGGGCACCACTGAATACTGCAACTTCGTGGACTTCAAATTTTGCGGTTACCGAAACTAAAGTTATGCCACGCCTAAATCCGATTATCGTGCGATTAAAACCGTTACCCATGTACATGGAACCGCTCACCTCAGTAAGCCGTGTCTGATCGTACGATCCGCTTTGTTACGTAACACGTGACTGCTATCTAACGGCTAACTACGGAGCAACCGGTCGATTCAAGTAACACCATAACAAATGCGTGTCAAACCGTCTTAATCTGACCATAAACACAGAGAACGGAATCTACCTGTGAAAAAATGATGTGTATATATACAACGGAAAGACTGTACCATACACGCTGTGATTGCATGCGCAAGTATGGCTGACTTGAGTGTTCTTGCCCATGGAATTCCACTGAATCCGCTTCCAGCATGGAGGCCACGCGATCCGAACATCGCGCATGCACCGGCATTGAAACCGCAGTTGACCCAGATGGAAAAGAGAATGGCAGTGGCCAATGCTCTACGCTACATTCCCGCCAAATTTCACGAGGAGCTGGCCACGGAATTTGCAGCGGAACTGGCCACTCACGGACATATCTATATGTATCGATTTCGTCCAGACCCTATCTTGCTTAAGGCTCAGCCAGTCAGTCTCTATCCGGCCACATGCGTCGAAGCAGCGGCAATTATGTTGATGATATGCAACAATCTTGACAGACAGGTTGGTGCTTTAATCGTGTGACACAGCGGTTTTCGGATTCCCCCGTTATTTGCTTTTTCCGGCTTATTGTGAAAGGTAATTCTCAGCTTTAATTTGAGCACATCCGAAACGATTTGTCACAGCTAATAGGGGAACCGTTCACTGTTACTTTATTAGTTTCCATATAAATAGCAACCAAAAGAGTAACAGACTTTAAAAAATCAATAACTTTAGTCATCTCGAAGAAGATACAAGTTATTTGGAAAGATGGAGGCAGTTCTCTTATAGTTGGGTCCAATAGAGACGGAGGAGGCGTAAAAAGGCACGGCATAGCCTTAAATTTGCTTCAGTCCCTTGATTTAATCTGTTGGTGACATGATAACCGACCTAAAAAGTGAGCTCGTCTACATGATGGAAATTTTAAGATAGCTCAGATATGAAGTGAAATTCAAGGACCCAAATTATTGAGTTTGCCACTCAAAATATGAAATGCTTCATACATCAAATCACGCGTGAATGGAATTGATCGAAATACGACGAGAGTGGTATGGCAGCCAGTACGACATTGCCAAACTGTATGGTTCCTGGCGAGTCTCAGTAATGTACAGCATTCAGTCACTAAATGCGCCGCACTGCTCGTGTGGCCTAAACAGGGAGACTTATCCAATAAGCTCTACATCTGATGCTCTTTTCTGTTAGATGTTTAAACTACGCCTACCACAAAACCAAAACATTAAACAGCATGTCAGGATTATTCCTACGGTCTCAATATTTAGGCCAGCCTACAATATTGTGAAGTAGTCAGTCAACTGGTCAGGCCCTACAACGTTTTTTGCACCTGTGCGAAAATTTTAGGTTGCACAGTTTCCGGATGAGCTGGTCACATATGGTGGAAACGGTCAAGTCTTCTCCAACTGGGGACAGTTTTGGTTGGTTATGAAAGCACTTAGCAAGCTCAGTCGAAAACAAACGTTGGTTCTGTATTCTGGACATCCACTTGGCACATTCCCAAGTCATAAATGGGCTCCCCGCTTGGTTGTTACCAATGGGATGCTTGTCCCAAGACCTGGACTGGAACAAGGTTACCAAAAGCTTTTTGCGCTGGGTGTCACCCAATATGGTCAAATGACAGCCGGATCCTTTTGCTACATTGGACCGCAGGGTATTGTTCATGGAACCACACTGACAATTATGAGTGCATTTCGAAAACGCTATGGAATTGACGGGAATGATACAGGATCATTCAAAGGACGAGTTTTCCTCAGTTCCGGACTCGGTGGAATGAGCGGTGCGCAGGTAAGACCTTAGGTTAAGCAATAAATGATTCAATGTTGCTGTTTGCCAAAAACCCGCCTAGCACGTATAACTCTACTACAGTACTCAAAACCAACACGCAATAACGAGGTAGTCACGTTATGTGTACACAACTGAATTTTCAAACACTGGTAGCATTTGACCGGCCACAATGTGAGGTGTAATGGGAGGTGACTTCGATACTGTGATTTCTATTAACTTTATCAGGCTTGAATTTGCCTCGTAAACTAACGACGGTGGACGTAATAACTGAGTAGGGATCACCTGGCTTAGCAGATAATTCAGAGGCATCGCTGAGCCGTATGAAATAGACCTCGATCACAACGTGTTCAAGTGACCTTTTAGTCATAAGCTTGTTAGCGAATTCAGAAAAGCAGGTAATGCTTCTAAGCGTCACAAATCCAAGTAAGCCAAGTGCGTTAAAAATTGCACGTGTTTTTTTACATGATATCGTAGCAACACTGCAGCTTCAATCCACCATACTACGTTGTACCGAAATTTATTTGGCCCTTCTCTGGAGTAACACAAAAATCACTCAAAAGATGCATCTTCAGTGTTGACAACCCAGGACAGTTCCGACAACCGCCATGTTTGTATTCTGATGCATGTAGCAGTTGGCACCGTAATAAAGTTATCAATCGCATATTTTCGAAGTAGACTCAATGCAGAATGGCCTTCACACAACAGTCAGCAGGTATAAAAGGTGCCGTAGAGTTTTTCGCAAGCTGCCAACAAGTATTTCCGTCTTTTATTCAAACAGTCTCCGAATAACTTTCCTGGGTTAATCTTATTTGGATTCACTCTTCCTTGAGACGTTATCCCAAACGAATAGGTGTGAGACGAATTTGCACTTTCAACCGTTTGTCGAGAGGCTCTAAACTGGGATAAGAATTACTAAACAGGCCTGTCATAGGAGGTAATTAATTTCGTCGGACGGCTTGAACTATTTTAAAACGGCAGCAAATTGAATCCTAACCTTAACGTTTGACAGCGCCGATCCGTTTGTAAATAAGTGCAATAATGCAATAATGTAATAATGCAAATTAACTGCATTATCAGGATGTTGCAGTACACTCACTTACTTGGTGTTCCTTGTCAACTACTTCCATCTATCCAAAGCTGCTTCCGCGACGTACGGTCCGACGCGGTACTATAAACTTACGGGGCGTAGTTCTGGGAGTCCAGTTTAAAGCCGTTTACCCATAACTGGTTTGGTCAGCGAACCCATGTTTTCGGAGTGAGAAAATTTCGAGAAGGTTCACCATAAGTTGTCGTTGTAAAGCGACAGTCATTTTCGTTGGGCAGCTGAGCACATCTCCAGCTACTACGAACAACTAATTTGGCATAGACGAGTGTGTTCACTTAGGCTGATCCGAGTACAGCCAGACATGACTATCTTAACCACATCTGATTGAGATTAGCAAATCAGCTGTTGAACAAACGTTCACCAGGTATCATAGTAAATAAATGAATAAATCATAGATTTCTATGTTGGTCCTAACTGATACCAGTTCTAGCTGGCCAGTCCCGACAATACAACAGGTATTCAGCCACATAATTGTCTCGGTTTCAATTTCTAGCACCGATGTTAACATCGAATAAGTCTTAATTGAGGTTGTTTACAGCTGCTTTCCAATTGGTTGTATCAAATTGCAGGAGTTACCTACAGGAGAGCTATCAGTTACTATCACCAACATACCAAGGACATGAAAGTAATTAACAAGTCTTTTTTGTTGACGAAATGATAGGCAAAAGCCGCTGTGATCGTCGGATGCGTCGGCGTGATTGCCGAGATTAGCGAGGAAGCACTGAACAAACGTTTTGCGCAAGGATGGCTCACCGAAAAGGTTACCGATTTGGATAAGTTGGTAAAACGGATAAGAGAATGCCGTGAAGCGAAGATGGCTATCAGCATCGGTTACCTGGGTAATATTGTGGATGTCTGGGAGCGACTGTTAAAGGAGTACCAGCGCACGGGTGAACTACTTGTGGATGTAGCATCGGACCAAACATCATGCCACAACCCATTCCACGGAGGCTATTATCCTTGTGGTAAGTCGAACAAAGTTAAACCATTACCACGACAGCAGATCGACGCACCCGTGGGGGTCAGTTTAGTAACAATGTGCTGGCCGTAATTAAAACCAGAAGTGATGAAGATTCCTTTATAAATAAACCGAATGACTGTAACTCATATAAAATTGAATGAAACTGCTGTACTAGCTTAGGTAATGTAGGAGCACAAAATTGGTGCGTCAACAAGTTCTGTGTTCCCGTTTTTTCTATGTGAGTAGCAGCCACATGTAAAATTAATAGCAACACATTTGTCTAAACAGTAAGGAGTTTCAACATTCATTTTGTTCAATCAAACCTACCAACGGAAAAATAAATCGCACACGTCCTACGTGAGGTGATTTGTTGTTTCAGGAATAACCACACTTTCCCATAGTAGCTGCACAAGTTCCACTTATTGGCATTGATACAATGGAGGGCATTGTCACAATTTTCCTGAGTGACTCTGTGGTTGATATGTCAAAATCCGCTCACTACTGATAGTTGCATTTATGCGTTCCTCGATTTGTCACACGGACTAAACCTTTTCTTTGTAAGGCAAATTTTAAACTCCAGATTGAGAACCTCAACTGCTATGTACGTACTCATCGAGTCGCTGTAATAGTAGTCATGAGAATATCCGTCAAATTAGTTGCCGCGTCAATCCAAAACATTAATGTGTCAACGGGTTAAACTTCTCAATCCAACGAAAATTGGTCGAACACGTTTACTGCATTGTGGCTGATGCACATTTATTGAAATTCCACGCAAGGTTGGGTGGGTTTTAACTAGCTGTGACGTATTCGGCGGGTACTTTAATCATCCGGGAGCTAACAACGAAACGCACGCCAAGCGTGTGACTTCACTGGTAACGCGATCCACCCATGGTTTTTCAAACGACCGACTTATCAAAAACCTCAGTTTCGACAGTAAAGTATCTAAGTGCAGGCCAAATTTATGGGTCGAGTTTTCGTCATTTGAATGAGGCTAAAACTAGTGCATCGTACACTGAAACTCCCCTTTATTCGTTTAAACAGTCGACGTTTTGCTGGCATCCAACCGGCACAATGTTCTTGTATCACAATGATCAAGAATATCTTTCACTTCACAGGGGTTCAAATATTTCTTGCAAGTCTGTTTCGATATCAAGTTAAGTGATGTCGAAAGCTACTTCAGACAAGAATGATGTATTTTGTTAAACAGAAAAACGATGACGAGAATGCATGACTCAAGTGTTTCGTGAGCCAGAAAAGTAGGTTGATGGATCAATGGTGTTTTACCGATTTCAGGATATACTTATGAAGAGTCAAGAGAACTGATGTCCAGAGACAACGAAGCATTTCAAAAGGCCGTAAAGTTCAGTCTGAGAAAGCAGGTAAGTTGATTGGCTAGCGGAATGTTTTCTGACGCATGAGGCCTCCGTCTGAGAAAATATTTACTTCTCCGTATAGTTTGAACCTTTGAGGTCGGTATCATGAAGTCAGGGTCACGGGGTCCTTCAGGCACATGCCATACGGCCGTGAATTTCCCACCTAAATACTCTGTTCCTAGGCCCAATATGGAAGTGGTACTGCTTGTCTAATGACGGACCTTCTTATTATTCACTACTCGAAGACCCACAGTTAAAGACTGGGGCTATGCCAGTTGCCCCAAAAATCACTCATATCAAATAATTAAGGTTCTATTTTCCTATAACTCCGTTGCACAAATGAAATATAACACCCTACAACTCAAAAGAATAACTCACTACGCATCATTATCGTTTTTAGGTGAACGCAATTAACCAAATGGCGGAAGCCGGTGTGTACTTTTTCGACTATGGTAATGCATTTCTACTACAATCCAAATTGGCGGGGGCCGACCTGGAGCCGACGGAAGAACAACTGGCTGAGGCCAATAGAAAGCGCATTAGAAAAGAATTTCGATACCCGTCCTATTTTCAGGTGAGATGGACTAATGAGTTTCCAATTGTTTCAAATCCGTAATAACATGTTCTATCAGTCAAAATCAGGTTGACTCTGGGTTTCGACGGCGCAGACCACGGAGGCTTGCAGTGCAATAAAACGATACATTCTGGGAGAACGCCTGTTTGATTTCTGCTACCGGCATAGTGCACCAGGTCTACCTTACGAACAAACAATTGCTACTTCGGTTAATATGAGAGTATGCATCCCCATCCCCATCACAACGACCTGTATCATCATCATTATCACTAAACTAGAGAGAATGTCTATAAGTATCCTGATCTAGAACATTTGACTAAGGAGCCGGCATGCAAGGAAGCAGTGAATGGCGTGAACTTCCTAGATCGATAGGATCTGACCAGAAGTAAGTCACCGCAAAAGTTCCAAAACGTGACACGATGGAAAGTAAAGAAAGTGTTATTCCAGCCTTTATTCACTGAACACCGTTTAGGGCATTTTGAGGGCTTACCAAGGTACATAAATCATTGTGTCGTGTTAGGATCCAGCGGAGTGGCAAAATAATTGGTTCTATTGCCCAGGCACATCCAAAACTTTCCAGTCAAGAATCAACCTATCATTTCGATGGTAAAACTGTTCGGATGAAAACTGAACCAAACTATACAGTAAAATAACTTTGTCAGTGTGGTTCTCGAAAGAATGTGCCTTTCTGTGGCGGCCCGATAGGGTGAGTCTCTGTGGATTTCTGCTATGGTAATTTCAGAATAAACGCCCTTTTTCTCGTAATTAGGGTTATTCAAGTCGGTGGCAACGTTGCCACTCACACTGTCCCTTCTAAAATGTTAGAGAATAAACGTTGAAGTTGTATTGGAATTCAAATAAATTTATGAGTGAATGTTCGGTAAATAAACTCCAGTCGCGCTCGTCACTCTGGAGAAGCTGTCCTGATTAGTCTCGCCGGTGGTCGCTGCGAAGAAGTTTTTTGTTCCTCTAAACTAGCATACATTTCAAGCAAATAAGTGAATAAACATGCACAATCTACTCCATTTATACACATATCGGACACATAAAACCATTCAAAGTTTATTACGGAAACGATTTTTTTCATAAAGACAAATGTCCGGCTGTTTTCCGTGGATTACCTTTTGAAACCTGATTGAATTTTGGTCCACCACACATCAAAGGTAATTCAATGTAGTTCACATTGGTGTGAAACGACTGGGTGTGCACATAAGCGGAAACAAGAACCCAAGTGAATAAAATACAAGCGGCGTAAGGCAGCATCCGCGGTAGATGGATCAGACGAGCGACCGTTTGGTCAAATTTGCATTCTGGCAGGTTTTATGTACTTACCTGGAGACTTATTATCTGGTTTTGTTTCGCCAATCTTGAAATCCAACTCAATGGTAAGAATCCTAAGTTGTGAGAGTTTTCACACTCTTGTGGGATCAGCGACTGTTTGGGACTAAAATTGGAATTTTTCAGCTACGTCACCTTTTTTGACACCAAGTTTTCGTCAAAGATCCTGGTCGTCGCAAATCTTATTCCCAGAAAACCGTTTCACAATCAAGTAATTTGCTTGTGAAAATACCTGCGCTTCATCCAACTGTAGGTATAGAGTAGCGTTCGTTCCTGATCTGAAAAATTGCCGCCGCACAAACATGGCTCACCAACACAAGTCCTGGTTTTGGTTTCCAGTCTGCCTATCTTACTTTCATACAAATATCAGACACCTTTTCTACATCATACACGATGTGGACATCATGACAGTTATTTCCTGTACAGCTGCGCTCGAAAGGAAATTCAATTAAGAGAACCATGACTAATACATTTTAAAATAATTAAATGAAACTCACGCTTGCGGTCATAAAAACGAACCTGTACAACTCTCGCTGGTCATCTGTACCTTCAGCAATCCCGAAACATTACAATAATCAGGATATATGATGGCTTTCATGATGGGCTGTGATCGTGGTAAGTCAATGGTGCTTTTGGTTAGTGCCTGTTTACAAGCAGGTGTTTGGAGATGGTGTTCCAGCCCCTGGTCGCCGAAACACACCATTTGGAAGTCTTATCCAACATACTAGCTGTTTGGGTTGTAGTTATTGTGCAATAATTTAGCTTGGTTAAACATGTACTCGTACAAACAAGAAGCTAGCAATTAGCACCCACTTCAATCGAGTTTCAGTACTTTTCACAGAAACAAACGACGCGTAACCACGCGCCTTCAAGACCAAACAGGGAGATTTGATATGCAACGAGGTGGCTCAAAATTCCGTAGGAGTGACAGCTTTCGGATCCCTCGGAAACCTTAGGCGTTCGACCAGAAGCTCAACTAACTGACAAAGCTCATACTAGGTACCGTTTAGAAGGGCGCATCCATTCTACGAGGTAGTCGTCAAGGAGGCAGCACTGTGAATTAGCTGCGTATTACCCAAGTTTGAAACGGGCCAGTGCCTGGAATCTCTCTTTTGGAACAAACCCAAGAGATTGAGCAAGGCGGAATAACTCAGACTAGTGTGATAAACGAGTGAACAATCGCCTTCGAGAAAGTAGATAACCTGGTTATTTCCAGTGTGAGTTGCCTCCTATCGGAACAGGAAAAATTCACCGGAACCGTCTAGCTCACGTACATTGCTTCAACCGCAGCATCAGATGAGCTCCGTCGTTAGTAGTCTACTGAAGGCGGCTGAATATACCCGTTGTAGTCATGAGAACGAAGAAGATAGCGAACAAAGCTTGTTTTCTGTTCCTCTTGGCTAGTACATCACAAATTTATATGGTAGCAGAAATCACGTGGAAAATGTTAAGATCGGGGTTAAATACACTTTAGAGAAATAGAAGTCAAAGGAAGGGGGGTTGGGTGAGGGGTAGGTCAATGGGTCACGGAGTCAAGTAAGTGACGTCAATGTCAGACAAACTTGTGGGACCAGATGTTTCGTGGGCCAGTTCAAGTTCAGAGGTCGCACAAGTTTCTTTTGGATGCAAAGTTGTGGATCCAGCAGTCGGATTCCTATCACCTCTGCGATTGATAGTAGTCTGGATCGTACCAGTCGTGATCCGCTCAGAGGTACTCGGTATATGATGGTGAAGGCTTGCTCTTTGTCTATGACATGACAGGTTTCGGCCAAGTGTGCTGCAATCGCGCTTGAGCCTAGTTTCTTTCCACTACCACTCAGAGATACGGGATTGTGTTCTCGTATTCTGTCCGACAAATGCCTTGTCGTACGACCAACGTATGATGCATCATACTTGGCCGAAACCTGTCATGTCATAGACAAAGAGCAAGCCTTCACCATCATATACCGAGTACCTCTGAGCGGATCACGACTGGTACGATCCAGACTACTATCAATCGCAGAGGTGATAGGAATCCGACTGCTGGATCCACAACTTTGCATCCAAAAGAAACTTGTGCGACCTCTGAACTTGAACTGGCCCACGAAACATCTGGTCCCACAAGTTTGTCTGACATTGACGTCACTTACTTGACTCCGTGACCCATTGACCTACCCCTCACCCAACCCCCCTTCCTTTGACTTCTATTTCTCTAAAGTGTATTTAACCCCGATCTTAACATTTTCCACGTGATTTCTGCTACCATATAAATTTGTGATGTACTAGCCAAGAGGAACAATCACAGAAAACAAGCTTTGTTCTACTGAAGGCATTCAACTCTGTCCAACGTCCCGGTACGCGCAATGGTCAGGGTGTCATGCACACTATAACATTTTAGGAGTTGAATATATGGTCCACCTCAACAATATAGACATTCTGTGGTGTTAAGCCCACAATGGTACTAGAAGCAACTCTGTATGGCACACCGAATGTTTGTTCACACTAACCGACTATGTTTATGTCCCGAGTGGGCCTTCCGAGTAGTGTGGACCACTGGGCCGCTCTCCGCATACGCTGTGGGCTTATATCGTTTAGTTCTTATAACCTCGAGTTCACGCCAGGCAGAGAAAATTCAGCTGGTTTTACACGCTGCTCAGAGAAAATCACGCGTGAAAATACCCGTTCTGCGCGAACGATGGGCATATGCGTATGTTTCGCTGTCGCAGATGAATTCGGAGAGGTGCCATCCAACTGTCTTCTTCCTTAGTTGGTCCTATTCGGTTAGCCTACCTACATCAGTTTATCGTTTAGATGTAGAAGTTCCTGAGACGACTGACAGGACACTAATGCCCGCTTCAGTAGTTCTTGGTGCCGGTCCGAGATTCTTATATGATAACCAACTGTTTCCAGATTTTCTGTCAGCTAAGTGTGTTTGAAGACTGGACTTCCATCTCAAAGACTTGCTGAGCACATACTCTCAAGCAGTGGAACCAGACACGCAAAACACGTGGCGTGAAAGAAGCGATTCCCGCGATCGATACAATAAATCGGTTGAATTCAATCGAAGCGTTCAGTCTAATGTATCGAGTACAGATAAATAGCCCCAAGGTAGTTGGGGGAAGTTCATTGGCAACAGAAGATAGACAGTTGAGTACACCAACTAAGCTTGCGTCGCCGAAAATCTCAAGTCAAAATGTTGACTCCACCCCGATTAATTAATCACTGTTTTTACTCATCAACTTTTTCACTATATGCTTCTATACCTAACCATTCATTTCACATATCTATCAGCTGAGGCTTTGTCGAAGGCAACTACGTGCAATATCAGGTAATCCTACTGTACTCCACGGTTGTTATGTTTTGAAAGAAAAGCGACAAAGTATTTTCGAGGAGGATCATCCCGGCGGGCTAAGGAACATCGGACTTTAAAACGTTACAAGTTACTAACCAGCGAATGTGGTTCCGAGTGAACAGAGTTAATCGCAACTTAAAGTATATGAAAAATAGCCATTACTGTCCCTTTCACAGGATATCATGGGTGACATTTTCTCAATGGGATTTGGACCCTTCCGCTGGGTCTGTACGTCTGGACTTCCAGAGGATCTCAAGTTAACGGACAAGTTGGCTGAGGCCGAGCTGGTATGCTTACTGGCCCAAGAAGGTTTGCCACAGCCAATTAGGCAGCAATACTTGGATAATTTAAACTGGATCCGAAAGGCCGATGGTCACAAATTGGTCGTTGGGTCACAAGTAAGTCAATGTTTCGAATAAAAAACAGATTAACCCTTACTGAACGTTAACCAGGAAATCAAATACTGTAACATTTTACTAACTTTTGGAGAATCTTTTATATTGTTAGTGCATTGGAGAGCTTTCCTGCTCGAATTCTACAGCCTAATTGAGTTTCCCATGGTATTTAAGCTCTTTCATTCTGTGGTACGACGTAAATGTAGGATGCGACTTAGTCAGCAACCTAAGCTTTTTTCGACGAAGAAAAAGATTCATTCCGTCCCAGTTCTTGTTTGCAAATGTGGTGCAAAGAACAAGCGATACCTAATTGTTCTGTTTTGTTGAAAAAAACGTCGCACGATCCGTCTAACTCATATGGTTTGGGACTCATTTAACGAGGGCAAGCAATTTTCGCCTCATTTTGACATTTCTCTTCAGGGGCTCTCAAAGATTAACTTATGAGAACAGAGCTCCTCCAACGAGGGCTTAGCCGCCAAAATACACTTGCTGGAAATATCTAAACGTGGTACCTTCTGACAGGTGGTCCCGCCAAAGTAGATCTGTGAATGCTATGTACAGGTCAGTCAAAGAAGCGTCTGGCGTACTGGCAAGTAGCTTCCGCTAGCAGAACTGCAATGATTTGCGATTCGCTTCATCATACAGAAGAAATACAGTGAACACGTTCCACTGCTTTACTCTGAGTATGAACCGGTAATATGCTTTCCGTATACACAAATCCTAGTTGAACGCTACTAAGGCACAATTTTGACACAAAAGAAGAGTAACGAGAACCTTGAGACTTTAAGGAACCGCGAATCAGTCACTAACAGACCGAACGAATGGTGCCGTTGGTCAAGACAAGCTACAAGAAATTTCCATTGAGTTCCCATTTATTACTAGACCATACTACAGTACTAAAACCACCAGGAAGTCTTTGTATTCTGATTTGAGAAAGATGTTTCTGCTCCTAAAAGGCTCTAGAAGTGTATTTTCGTCATCGTGTGTGATAGCTCGGCGGTGAGGTCTGGACAAAATCCAAGTTATGGCAATTCATTGTACTCACCGGTCTTTTTCTCATGTATTTTCCAGATTGAATTACACAAGCATTTGTAATTATTGACTGTGTAACAGTTTTCAACGTTGTTTTGATTCTGAAGGCACGAATCTTGTACTCAGACGAAGCAGGACGCATTCGGATTGCGAAGGCTTTTCACGAAGCGGTGAGAAGCGGAAAACTCAACGGACCTGTGGTACTAGCTCGTGATCACCACGACGTGAGTGGAACGGATAGCCCCTATCGGGAAACAGCAGATATCTACGATGGTTCAGCTGTGTGCGCGGATATGTCTGTAAGTACACGTATTACGTCACACCAACTGAGGTGGAGTAATTACACCTTTTGGATAACGAATGGACGTAGATTTACCCTTCACCTCATAAGTAAAAAATGGAGAAACCTCGCAAAGATTTAATCCAAAGCAAGTACTAAAAATACCATATTAAAGAAAACGATTTGGCCCATGGGGAATAGGAATTTCTTTTAACAACTTCAGTTCAGGGACCACATGAGTACAGATTGTCAAAGCCACCAACCGACTAAAGGCATCCCGGGATTATCTGGACGTTAATCGATAGTGTATTTACTTGGCCGCCTCAGTCCTAACGGAGAACATGTTTTTCTAGTATGGACGTAATACACTACCAGTAAGGTTGCTGGAAAAAACTATTCGAGAGCCCGTGATCGATTTAGCCCTTCTTGGGGATCACAGGTAGGCGCAGTCTCCAGGCAGAAATATCACAAAAGGTAGATTAAGCTGGGTTCCGGGTGAGTCTCCCGTTAAAACCAAAATGATGTGCAAATGAATGTACTTGTCGAAATGCTTTTCTAGTGGTCCGAAAAACATAACCCCACTCCATGTGATTTTTCAGTCAGACATTTCCAAAATGTATACCGGGATGATCAACAGCTTCATGTTACAGGGGATTGCTAGAATATTTCTCGACTTTTAATAACAATGGAGATAATAAAAAAAAAACCGGCGGCTTCAGAGAACCCCTTCAAGCATTATTTCCAGGTAACTAAACCCGACTTTCCTACAGTGTTGAAATCACTCAAAGCGATAGATCAGAACACAGGATTTCTTTGACTCATTGAATACTCCCATTTATGCCGTCTCTTGTTTTCAGGTTCACAATGTTATTGGAGGAGCGATTAGAGGTGCCTCGTGGGTATCGTTACACAACGGTGGTGGAGTTGGCTGGGGTGAAGTAACGAATGGAGGATTCGGACATGTACTAGATGGGACAGATGAATCGATAAAGAAAGCGTGTCGAATGTTGTCTTGGGATGTGACAAATGGAATGGCAAGAAGAGCCTGGGCCGGGCACCCGCTAGCTCGTCTGGCACTGGAGTACGCTCCGGATCGAGATAGAGTTGCATCCGAGGATCGACCGGATGTGTTAATGCCTGTGCTAGTAAATGATGCCAATCTTCTTGATCGGGCATTGAATGCGGCTTACAAGGGATAACACGGCAAGAGCATCGAGGTTTGATTCCAACCTGAGTAGCAATTTGCTGTGACTTCTGAAGTTTCTTTTGATGTGGTGCTGAAGCACGTGTTTGCTTGCAGGCAATTGCGGGTTCAACAGTATCTAATTTACCCAACCGAAGTTAACATCACAGAGCAATTTGTATTAGCTTCGTTGAACTGCTGTGCATATGGATAATGGAAATAACTTATAGTATAATGTAGCCGACACGTTGCTTTTTATGAACACAGAAGAAAGGAAAAACACTAAACAAACAGTATGTTAGATAGAGGATGGACAGCCAAAAGGTAGGAGACAGCACCATAAAATTTTATTCACCATATCAGTGAATGAACTTGCTAAGAGCTGATCAGCTGCTCTAGTGACCCGATTACGGTCAATCATGTGCTGATATCTGCATCCAGGAACGAGCTCACTACATTTATCTAACCTGTAGCCTAAGTGTTGGAGAGGTAGAGCTAACCTGGTTGGCACTTCTGTCTTTAACACAGTTTTGATATACAATCAACACAGAAGATATAGTTAACTCCGAGTTTCTGTTTGGCTGTCAAGAGCGCGAAATTCTCCAGCTAACTAATGGGGACTTCGTATCAGGGTTCGTATCACCGAGTCTCCACATAAAACCTAGCCTACTGATGTTCACTAGTGTTCTACAGCACTAAAGATGTCCATCTCTATCACTAGTATTTAGAAAAACCGGAGGTCAGTAATCACTATCATGCATATTGGTTATGTTTCTGCGGGAATCCGAAAGTAATTCATTCAATTAATGCACTGGTAGCAGGTTTCTCGTATTCTAGTTAGGTAGCTCAATCTCCATGTTTTTGACAGGATGAAATCTGGTAAAAGGCGAGGAAAGCACCATGTGGGAATCGGAGCAGGTATATGAATGAGAGCATCACTATCGAGATGTCCATCCAGAGGATGTTCAGTGTGCAGGTATTCCTTCTTATATCCCCATAATGGCGGTAACTAACCAACCCGCGTAGACTGAGACGAAAGTGAGGTATGACGCTCCAAATTAAAAGTAAGTACATATCGAACTGCCGTTTCAATCGCTAAATCAAACAGTCTCATTACCATGAATTCTACAAATTATCTCCGATAATTTCCATATTATCAACAGAACAAACTTACTCGTCACTAGGTCGGATTCCAAGTAACCGTTTGACAACCCATTCGTACCAGCCGTAGACTTGGCCGATTCAGCAGCCGATCGGAAGTAATGCTTAGCATCGGCCACAAGATCCATAAACGTCACTTCAGATCGAAGCGGTGAGTAGGTTGCGTACTGTAGCACAAATGCATCTAGTTGTTTGCGAACGGCTGACAGAGCTGCATGAGGTAGTTGGTTGAAAGTTTCCTGTAGCGTTTTCACTCTCTTGTGATCAGCAGAGTTTACAGGGTCCTGTTGATCGTCGGTTTTCGAGGAGGGCGCATAGAGGAGAACAGCTCGCAGCAATGGGATTGGGTAGGCGGCGAGATTTGAGAGCAGATTGGTCAAGTAAAGGTTGGCGTAAAAACAGTTGTGTTGCATACTTTCCAATCTTGCTAATACCGTAGAGAGGAATGGGCCTGAATGCGAAAGAGAGTGAAGGCAAACATTAAATCTGAACTATTCCTATCTTATATAGTAAATTTGACCTTATTCAGTCTGCCGTCGTTCGTAACACCGCTAAACCGTTTGAAATTAGATGGTTAACTGCATAGATAAGTATTAACCGACCAACTCGGAAGATCATATCTTTGCATCTCAGCTAGCCTGGAGTTTGGGAATGTCTTCCTGAGAGTTGTTGATAGCCATCTCGTGTGAAAGATCACCGGTGATTTGATCAAGGAAATGCAAGCCATGTCAGAATGAGCCAGTAGCAGGAGACGGCGACCGATCGAATACCATACACCATTCTTAAAAATACGTCTTCGTAGAATCCGTTAGATGACTCCCTAGCAATGTCACCATAGAAATCCAAAGATGATTTGATGTGAAGATGGAATTTTTAAGCTCTGACATGAAGACAGAGGGATATCACAACTTAGAATCGAATTACCCTGAGGATTTACATAAAGTCACCTCAGGAATTTCACCGCCCCTCAGTGAACTTGAAGCCAAACACCAAGAAATAATGTTGATATAAACTACCCACATCGTTTGCAGTAAATAACGTACACGGAGAAATGGAGAGCCATAAACAATCCGCTAGAAATTGCTTCACGCCTAGCTGGTTTGTTATGAAAGATGGAACGTCATCCACTCTCAAAAGGCTTGTTCAGAGTGTCAAGTAGACTGTGAGGTATGGAGGCCATTGTTAAACAATTTATGCGCTCTACAATGAGAAGCATTTAGCGTTTGGGAGAGAACACAGGGCATATCTTGGCTAATAAAAGCTGGAGGAAGGTGATGAAGGGAAAAGCTGACGAGCCCTGCTATAATAACACTGGCAAATTTATTGTCCTTAACGATAAAATAACGTTTGTCTTCACAATGATGATAACTCTGAACTGCCAAGTAAACAAGCTCTGAAATCTGACATTAAAACTAGAACTACAGCTGAGAGTGAGCCTGAGTTACCACAAAGTAGCGTGACGTGTGGGATGTAGATGAGATGGTTGCTGATCTGTTCACTGAGGTTGATAATTTGCTTGCAAACGTTTTGACACTAGTCGGTTGTGCGTTAGAGTTAATGTGCGGTTGGGTGAGTGGGGTACTTAACACCAGGACAGGGGAGAGGAAATAACTCCTGCCCAGGACACAGTTCCATTTTTCCCTTCAGTTCAGAGTGCAACGTCTTGGAGAGATTATTTAGGACTCATTCAAGAACCAATTACAATCTACAGAAAATAAGGTGGAAAATTTATTTTTAGTTTAAAAGCAGACCCTGGGAAACTTTTCGACAGATCACATAATTGGCACTGCATAGTGTCTGATGGGTCTAGTAATGCTGCTAACATAGGGTACTGCCAAGCTGTGTAATCAGCTAGATTTCAGACAAGTGCGAAAACTACTCAGACTCGATTTATGAGTCACTGAAGGTTCGGAACCAAGTAGCAGCCACCGACGCGGAGGATTAACGGGGTACATTGTTACGGGGTACTATTTCGTATGTGCCTGGCTATACCTGGAGCCCGAGATGCATTTTTGTACAAAACCTGTGTGGGATTTACATCGCATCACCTTTGCGACATATAATTTTCAAATTATCGGTGTTGCTGTCCCTCAAATAACCAAAAACGTCTAACGGAATTCGGATAGGCTACAGGCGTCCTGCTTTCAGGGAAACTTAGCGAGACTAGGACATCGAATTTGAAACGATGCGAGTGTTCAAAATTTACGATTTTACGGGGAAACTGTGTATTCTAGTGCTAATTTAAGACGTGCCAATAAAGCCCTTGATATGGGCTGAGGTGTACGTCAACACATGTGCAGCCATGGTCAATCCGTAAAGATCGAAAACCTTCAAGATATGGAAGAAAACTTTGCTCCGGCAGGAATCAATCCCTATAGGTAACAGAATCGTCATCCAATGTTCGAAAAACTGTAGAGCTAAGGAACCATAAGGACACATTCCATTTCGAGAGTAATTTTGACAGATTAGCAGGTTTTACAGCTTTATTGAAGTGCCTGTTGGACTTGTTACGTGTAACAACTACACTTTTCTATCCACCTACAGCAGTGGATCTTTGTGTGGGGGTTCCCGAATGTATGCAAACTGTTCCAGTGGACACGAACTGTTGTCAGAATACGCACACGTGAATTGTGTGTGTTGGTATACTCAGACGTGCCCAGTCGTCAGTGTCAGTTTGTTCACAGAAGTGGTTGCGAATCCTTATTGCTCAGCGTAGGCCATGACAAAATAGTCATGAATGAACTGTTCTGCTGGAGTGAAACTTAGCCAAGAAAGTTTTTGATACGTTGACAAGACACAAATGCAATCTCTTACCCCAGTACATCTAATGATATGTCAGTTTCCTGCTTGACAGATTGCAGCGCCAAGCTATAAATCGGTAGATTCCATACAATACTCTCCTAGAGTGAACTAAGTAGCAGACATGTTCCATGCCAAGCTGCAGAGTAATTTTAGTCCAACGGGAGCCCCATTGGAGCCACGATTGCCCAATATTTATCACCACTATATATCTGTTCTGATTTCGTTATTTGTGTACCACCCAGGAGGTGGGAGGATAACCACATCGTGCACAAAACGACAAGCAGGATGATGGGATGAAAAAGTTTAGTAATGCCGGTCTGCAGTGAAGGTCATGTGCTGTCGTGAAACCCAGTGCAAAGGTATGGGCATCAAATGGAGGAACTACGTTGGAATGCAGACAGGCACAAGATGTGTCTTCAGTCAAAGCTTAGTAAGTTCACAAGAAACACGAGGATTGGGTAAGGATCCTGCCGTCCCACAAGTGACCGGTTTACGTGGTTTGGTTGAGGAAAATGTTATGGCTTTAGACGAATCATGTTTTGTAAGTAATTGTCAATTAAATCACCTTGAGTAGACGGGTGCACATAGTTAAGGTGAGTCGCAAGAAGAGTGTACTTACCTAGAGTAGGAAATGCAACTTGTGAACGTAGGCCAGATTCAGATTTGCTCGAAGTTCTCCGGCTGGTGGCTGATTTGTCGATTGACAATGCCCTACTTCCCGCGGACTGTCTTCTAAGAAGTGTGTTCAAATACTGAACTGACGATGAACTAACCGTATCGTAAACGGGTTCGTAGGGCACTGCCTGAATGTACAAACCAAGAGAGTGAAGTGAAGAAGGGTGCACACCAAACGTACTATTGTCCTGTTCGGGAAAACAAGAATCATAAAGATCACCGGTAGATTCTGTGCGCATTCCGTTAGAGTTTATCAACACTTCGTCATTACCGATTTCAGGTTCCCGTGAACTTGCTGTTTCTGGCTCGCAGCAAGCTTGTTTAAAATTGGTTTCTTCACTGGACATGGAAGAATTCCTACAGCATGCGTTGGTCACTAGGGTATCATGCACCTCAAGTCCATCACAGGAATCGGGTGACTGGTCGTGAGCTGATGCGACCGGATCAGCCTGTGAGCTTCGAAAGTAATTTTCCAAATCAAGTGAGTGTCTTCGCGATGCATCTTCGGAATTCGATGTCTGAGGACTCAGTTTGTTAAGACAGTCAATAAACTTATTCAGGTCTTCAGAATCACTTCCACCTGATATAATTTGTGTGTCATGGTTAGTTGCGGAGTTTTCCTCCGACATACTGCGTCGGCTAGAAGAACGTTGATTAATTTCCTGAGTCAGTCTATTCCTCGCTTCAGTACGGCTCTGTATTTTCTCAATATATTCGGCGTTTAAGCCGAGAAATGTACTATCCAGGTAACTTAGACAGTACCATGATTTAACGTGGTGCTGAGTGTGGTCATTCTTCAACAGTCCAGAATGCCGTAGTTGATAATCGCTGCTACTTTTGTGGAGGGGTCTCGTTACATCTATTCCAGAATCATCGCAGTCAATACCCTCAGTATCAGTACCAGTATCGGTTAGCAGAGCCACTGTCCCCTCCCTCTGTGACTGACAGGGATTCACTTCTTGCACTTTTAACGACTGTTCGGGACATTGTTCCGAATATTGTGGAAGGACCTCATTGCTTGATCCATCGAGATCGAATTCTGCATCAATATCCAGTTTGCAGACAGCCATTCGCAAAGCGTGGGCTGTCTTTTCCCCAGCTTTCTCCTTCATTTGTTCAACTGTCGGATGTTTGATAGTGAAGCAGTTAAACTGAGCATGGGCTGCAGCCAATGTGCCGCTAAGAAATGGAGTGAACCCGAGATTTCGATTGCCATTTGGTTGCAATGCCATCTGTTGTTGTGACACTTCACTTTCACATATCGGCAATAAAGAACTGATATGTTCTTCGAAACCAACTAGCTGTGAGGCCGTTGGTTGGACTGAATCGTAAGTAAGGCGCCAGTCGGCAGATGCGTGGCTTCGTGAACGGATGGCATCTCTGGCCCAGGACGTATAGTTAAACCAATCATCTGGTGTGAGGTAGGTTCTTCGATGCGGTTCACCGTCAGTGCTTATTGGTTGATCTGCCGAAGGCATTAATGGTTGATTCTGCTGCAGGAATTCACCAGAAACCGTATTAGAAGATGGAGAAAGAATGAATTCTGAGTGCACTGGCATCAGCGCTTCCATGGTGCACGAAACGCTCTTTGGCGCGGAGGAGGAGTGCTTCACGACGTACAAGGACGCTTAAAATGAGAAGAAGATAGAGAAAGTAAATAGTCAAACACTTCATCAGTACAAGCGCTGAGCATGAACTGGGGAGATGACGCGAGAAAAGTTTTTGTGGTTTGACAAACGCAAGAAGTTCACCAAGATGAGAAAAAACAACAACTTAAGAAGGGTATACTTTATACACATACTAATTGTCCCCAGGTAGGAGTCCAGAGCAGGAAACGCGTCATCATCCCCCCCACACAAATAAATAGTTGAGATAACGTTGGGGACTGACGGTCTCTCCGTGGAGTCTGATTTTGAGTGTGATCTTGTGGGATGAGCATATATATGAGCATACAAATAAGTTCTCATCAGCGGAATGCGCGGCAAAGAGGCCAAACTTTAGTGCAAAGATAAAGGGCTAGAGGATAGAGGACGTCCATGTTGTTAGCTTCGCACAGGAATTTGGGGTTTCCGTTACTCCGAAGGGGTGCCTGTATATGGTTGTGTTGTTTTTTGTGGAGATGAGTACCGTGTTGGCAGACGTTTCATTGTCGATTGAGGCGGCATTATGAGTACCTGGACTCTGAAACCGAACCTTTTAGTTCAATGACCAGCTGCGCAGCGTGAAAGAGTAATGCACTCCTTGGAAGCAAATGAATTAAACAGTCCGAACTAGAACTAAGTACAACATTACCAGTGAAAGCAACTAACAAAAGGCCGACGGAAAATGCTAGGGAAACTTAGACATGTAGCCACAAATTAATAAGTGGTTATCTTACCATCGACAGAATTGAGGTGCTCTGATTTAACATGATTCGTTGGAGACCATTCACCGTCGACTCCATTCATCTCAGGCTCATCATCCAAATTCAGTTCTGCCACCGATTCGTGCAAAGCATGCCTCGTAGACTGGCCGACAACAGACTGGGACTTGTCAGCATGACTGCTATGTGAAATATCATCGTAAGCTGCAATCAGATCCAAAAATTCACCGGCCGCCTGGGCATAAGAACTTGATTCTGGCCATGGCCATCCAAGAGATAGTAGACTGTCCCGGAACGGAATGAGGTACCTAGTTTGATGGGAAAATCACGCGATAGAATGAACTCGTTCCAGATCAGTTGTCCTCTGAAATAAAATGCTGCCTCACGTTCAAACTAAGTCGACGAAACAGCGATCAATTTGTTTTGTGTGAGAAGCCATTTACCAGGATCTCGGTCACGGCAAAAGCGACGAAGGAATGCTGGCGGATTTATATCAGTTTTACCATACGAATTTTTAGACCATCGTATCACTTTCCTGAATAAAAACCATGCAGTGCCATTAACAATTTTGAAGACCTTGTGGATTAATAACCCGATACAGCTTAGCGAGTTAAACAACTGGAGCTTTCAGTACTTAGTCTAAGTGTTTAATGGAGATATGTCGAGTAAATTCATCGATTTCAGTATTTAAAATGTTAGCAGCGGCTCAAAACCTAAAACTGGCTCCCCGCAGCACAGCAGAGCAGTAGTTAACTCTGAGTACCAAGGCAAATGGGTACTGTATTGTTCCAAAGTGCGAGTCAACTTCTAGAGATATTCCGATAGAAATCGAACACAACCCCCACGGAATGGTTCACTTCGAAAAAGGGATTACACTCAAATCTTGTGGTGTACTCAAGGAAGGTAACAAACAAAGAAACGAAGTAGGATCTTTTGCATGAATACGCACGCCGAACATCGGCATGCGTAACAAATCTAAATAATGGTTCTCGGCTTACCTAGAAGGTATTGAACTATATAGATTGGATATCAGGTAAAAAAAACTCCCAGAGGTGAATCCATTCGGTGTACGTTCATGTGTCATGATGTAGTTCTTGGGTGCTTTTTCGTGCTCATCAATCAAACTTATGTGAGTGTTCCATCAAGAATGTGTCACAATATAGCTTTTGGTCGTATATTACACGCTAACTGTGATAGGCACCGAGGGTACACACATGGTTACAGGACTTGACTTACCTGAACACCAGATACAACATCACGTCTTCACAGTGCAGACCGAGCAAGGTGTTAAATAAGGATAGGGTGGCTACGCCCAACTGCGAAAGAAAAAAACGTTAAAAAGAATGTGGTGACAATGGTGAACATGAAAAATCATTACATATACGATAGTATACGAAATCTACCGAAACGGGTCTACACTGCGCATGTATACCATTAGGCTGAACGTGCGGCAGAATCGTTTAAGCAGAATGTACGATCGGAAGTGATATTTGTCAATGATTTCAGAGGACGCTCACTGTCAGATGTTAAAGCGAGGAGTTTAAAGGCCGAAGAAATGACAAACAAAGATTGACACGATCGGAGGAGTTACTGGATGAAGAACGTCTGAAGTTGACAAACTCATAAACTGCTGCTGCTAGTGAGCGAGGTAACAAAGGTGGAATAGTGATGCAGTTAGATTAATACGAGAAACCAAATCAGAGCAGTACACTCGGGTGACCACCAACAGTTGTTGACCGCATGGCATTCGAAAGGAAAACACCAGTAAAATTTTGTGTGTGGATGCCTTCTACATAGAGAAGAATCAAATCTCATTGTTTTAAGCAAGTCCGTGATGAAAGTGGTAAACTACTTCTGCAACAACAGGAATTTTTAATACAAACGAAGTTTTCCGGGTTTCAAGCATAGTACCACGCTGTCCTTTGTGCAAAAGAGCCAATTACTTAACTACTTGTGAGTAGCCAGCATTGGAGTAGAAAGTAAATTGCAGGCGAATCCGCCGTCGATAATTGCGGCCCGTTTCGTAGGATGAAGGCAACATCTAGCCATATAAATTCCGGTAGGCGGAAATTCGAAGGGCCAAATAAGCGCCCCTATTTCTTTCGCTAAAAAACAGCATCCGATGGTGATTTCTTTCTGCGAGTGGATGCACGTAATGACTGCCAAAATGACGAACAACTAATCAACCAATAAACAATACTAAAGTACTCCCTATCCAAGAGAGGGTCTCAAAGAGAGACATTTCAGGTGACACAGACAAGGCCTACCGGATTTCCATGGAATTTCGTAGCTCTGCGAAAATCATCCTGTACCTTCCTAGTCCAGGGGTCCCTATCCTGAGGCCGGTAGTTGTCAGCCCGAATAAGTTTACTGGTTATTGTCTTCGGACATCGTTGTCCACCTATCAGTCACTTTTACTCAGCACAGGGCTGGGCAAAAAGAACTCTGAGGCAGACTGCCTTCTGGCATGCGGAGTACATGTTCTAACCAGCGTAGCCTATGAAGCGTGAGTAATTCATCTATCGCAAAAGAATTACATCTTCCTAAGACCATCTGCTAATCCGATGTTCCTGCCAAACCTGACCAATGCTCCGGAAACACCAATGGTCAAACACTGACATATGTATGTCCTCTGCTCGTAGGGGCCACGTCTCTGATCCATAAAGCAGTATGGATCGTAACACCGCAGTGTAAACTCTGCCTTTGACAGAAAAAACTCACGTCATATCGGCGCCCCAGGTTGATAGATCTCAATGTATTTTGAGCAAAAGATAGCTCAATGGTTAAGCCGAGGACTTAAAAACCGGAAGGATCGTGATTCGAAGCCGACCGTAGTTAAAACCTGATAAGATTTGAACTTAACACCTCCTTATCGGGTATCACTTAGTAGAAATTCGGCATCCAGATATTTTGGCCATTTGATTTGCACATTAGTAATCATGTTACAGCTGGTTTTCGTTGAAAGCCTATCCATCATTCACTAGCTCGATTAACGAGATTTTGTAAGCCAGTGAAGTAGATAGCAGCAAACCAGTAGTAAATATTTGTACCCAAGTTTCATTCAACCTCGGGAAATTTACGCCTGAGAAAACAGCCAGCAGGAAGGGTCAGAGTGGAAATTTGGTTGAACATCCTCGAAGTTCACGTAAGCGAGCAGAGCTGAACACCATCTCAGAGTGAAGACTCATCAACAGGAGCCATCCAGCACCATATACCAAGCTTACCTAACGCAAGCCTGGTATAAAACGCCAAACACTTTCTTTAGCTCGGTAACTCTGTTAAGTGATAGCGCGTTCGACAGTTGTGTTGGTTACGTGCCACTTCCTGCGGGTCTTAAGAAATGGCGGATAATAATGTGGACCATAACCAGGAAGATACGAAGATCCCACAGTACTCAATTTATCAGTGGTCACGTTCGTTTAGCATTACCATATCACGGACCTTCACGGGCGAAATTTTTGTGAACTGCTTAGAATTGAAAATAAAGATTTACTAAGAGGTGGTGGTCGGCCATGAAAATAACACATCCCAGTCACCTTAAACTGGTAATCCTCATTTGCTGCTCGGATGATGCTTGTTCCAGCTTATGCGCCGTGCTACTGCGGGCAATTCGCATCCAGCCAACTTCTGCGTCTTAGAAACAGAGATTATCGAATTTTAGAAGACAATACAATTAAGTGATCATTCACATCTCTCATTTTACGACCGCAGCCTGTCTAGGAAGCAACTAGCACGCCGAAATTCGAATCTGAAACTACTTGAGCCCAAGACAGAATCTGATCCTAAAGTGACTTCTTCGTGGTTGTGCATGATATTGATTATTTTAACTGGCCGATATCGATTTCAGCTAATCACTTAGAAATATGTTAACTAGAAGCTCAATACAAATTAACATTTCGAAAAGGAGGAATTAAAAACGATACCAAACCAAACAAAAAAACACGAATGTCGGTAGCTCAAACACTTTGACTTAAAGCAACAAATGGAAGCTTTGTTTACAATTAGCGGTATTCTTTGGAATTTGTGTGATATTTATATTGAGAGGCGGATCAGTTGGAGACCATTGAGGGCTTTATCCGGACAAATGACTCTTACTGCTTTTCTTGAGTTTTGATACATTGCTAGCGGTCTTTTATATCACATTTAAAAAGCGCACCTTTAGAAGAATTCAAAAAGCTTTATTCCACGTGGCGGCCACAATTCGGGGGCTTGTTGTGGCTAGTGAGAATGCTACGGTATCGAACGCCACAAACACGATCAAATGCGTCTTTTAGGAAGACGGAGCAACAATTTACAGCAGGCTAGAAAAAAATGGATGGATGGCGCGGCATGGAAGACACCTTTGTTTTTAGACGGTGACACTAAAATTTTTTACTTCAGTTCGTCTCAAAAGGTTCCAATAGAAGGCTAACAAATTTTGGTTGCACATCACGGAACCGCGCTTCACCAGCGACACTATATAAAACGTCCAAAAGAGTACATCAGCGGGACTTGGACTAACAAAGCTGATTTGTATATTTTATACGCTTTTAAGGCGGATAGATGAGAGTAATGAAGGGATCCGGTGTCAACATCTTAATGGCTCTGTATTGGCGTGGTTTTCCAGAGATGTAGGAACGTCTGGTCATAACGTTATACATATATANGGGACTTGGACTAACAAAGCTGATTTGTATATTTTATACGCTTTTAAGGCGGATAGATGAGAGTAATGAAGGGATCCGGTGTCAACATCTTAATGGCTCTGTATTGGCGTGGTTTTCCAGAGATGTAGGAACGTCTGGTCATAACGTTATATATATATATATATATATATATATTATATACATAATCCAGGAAACATGTGTTCAGGAAGTGAACCTTGAAGGTGATGAGGATTTTAGCAAGGAAAATTCGCGCAATGATATTATAATGTATACCCAAAGTTCAGTCCTAAGAACACCTGAACAAGCAGTAAAACACCTTGTTTTTATTTACAGTTAAACTGCCCACGATTCAGTGTTTCACTTAACGCTGGAGTGCATCAGAGAGAAGGGAGATGGAAACAATAAACAACACTAAAATATGGTAACCGTCGCATCAAACATGAGTTTTACATGAAGGTATTTTAATGACGATCAGGCTTCTTTCAAAAGACTTGGTCGGCGGAGACGGTGAGAAGACTGACATCCAAACGACGTTCTGCTCCGGCGGTTCAGTATGAAAGATATCGGACTATCAAATCGGCACAAGGGAAACCTCAATCTTGAGGTTGAGCCACATTTATTCCCCGAAAATTAGGATCATGTTTCTGAGACAGTTTCTCAGTGATATTCAAAAAGCTGCCCTGAAACATGCATGAAGCTGGTAACCTAAGCCCCTTGGTGCATTTGCATTCAAGGTCTTCTTAGTACACAAATAGTCATTGAATAGTTAAGGAACTCTCTATACAATGGACACAACATGGTACTACGACAAAGCAACACTAAACAGCACAGGGCTCTTTGAGAAGATGAGATGAGTTTTCACCTCATTTTCAACCATTACTCTTAGAGGGCAATAATGAACCCGTTAAGACGCAACCCCCGATGTTCGAGTCATCAGAATAGTCCATCCAATAAAAACGGTACTCGGAAATGAAACAATCCATTCAGTTCTTCTCGGAACTGACACGTCTGAAATGCCGTGTAACGAATGGCAAGATCAATAAATCGACCGACGTGATCAAGCAAAACTAGTAGAAGGAAAGTAAGCATATCACCCGTATAAGTGACCTTATAAATAGAAAGTATTGTAGTACACGGCGTAGCACACTAAGTTCGTTTTCGTTAAGTCTATTGACGAGATCCTTGGTTTGCTCTCTACGTGATCACAATGACGAAAGCAGTCATGTGATGTTTTCTCGAGGCACAGTGATTCGAATTCAATTTTCTGTGTAAGTTACACTCTGACAGTCACGCTAGCTTTCAGTGGAGTATTTGATGTTAGGAGTGACAACTTGGAGAGTCCCAGCGCCATGGAATAAATGAAGCACTATCTACCCTAGTGCATAGGAGGATGAAAAGCTGAAAGTAACTTGTACAGGTCAACAAAGCAAATCTGATGAGCATGTGGAAAATCCACTGAGAGCTAGTGCGAAGTCGCTGTACTGGCATCCGTTATAGCGTCATCTTCTATTGCCATTGTGCGTCGGAAGGGGTGACTCAACGTGTCATTCGCTACTCCATTGTTCTCAGTAAGTCCATCTGCACCCAGAAAAATCAACTCGTTTCTAGCACAAGCCACGTCAACCGACTGCAGCGGTGGTTACACCGAAGTAAAATTTTGTTTGGTTCTCCATTTGTGAGCATAATATTTTGTTCACCTCCATCCTAACCGATCTGACCAAGATTGACAGCCAGTCATCAGCAACTTTGCAGAAAGAGAGACAGCACGTTTCGAAGAGGCAATAGAGGCAGAAGGTAATCGAAGAAAGTACTAGGATGAACATAGATACATAACAGTTTATTGAACTTCATCAGGTACTTTTTAGTGGATCAATCAAAGTTGATTTCATGAAAGAATAACTGAAACCTGATGCAGCAAATTTACCCATAGACCATACCTAACAAGTGTAGAAGATTATCAGGAAATAAGTTCATCTGCCACATCAAAGGACAAAGCAGAATGTTGTTCTCAAAGTCAAGCACTGTAGCAGTGCTCGTGTTCAGCTTAAATGCCAACCTTGGTGAAGAAATGGAGAGGTTGGTTTATGAATTCGATACCTAGGTTGAAGGACAAACCCAGCGCCTCGTCTCTGACCGATGGAAAGTGATTTTGTAAAAAGATCTAACTAAAGGTATTTAACTCGATAAAGCCCATTTTCTTGGATTTATCATCAAGATGTACGAAGACTTAATTGTGCTAGACACCCGTAATATATCACAGTAAGCAATGGCTTCAAGCAAGTGAAACTACACTTGGAATTCGCATTTAATCAAAACCAGAGATGTTTTGAGTAGGCTACGAAAGAAGCTAAATCGTGAGTGATCAAAATATAATACCCCCTCGAAGAATGGCAACTGTAGGAATTTCCGGCAGAATGAACTTTCTTCACGAGTAATGTAGAGGACTTGCCATCAGTGTACCAGATTGTGGATCAACTGCTCAAAGATTGTAAGACCTTGCGCAAATGTTTTTTTAAACAAAATACTCAAGGTCCTTGACTTAGCTCGCCGTTCGATACAAACATCGTGTAACCCGTTCTGATTATTACTAACTTTAAAGGTCAGTTGTAGTTGTTGCTCCGGAGCAAGCTCCTTGGTTTATGTGAATGGTGTTGTCAGAACCAGTTGTAATTTGTTCTTTGTCACTTTCGAATGTCTTCAAACATTCAGAAACCCTGCAGTCGATATTGTACATAAAAATGACAGACTATGGACCGAACAGATAGCAATTTAAATACAACGGACTAAGAATACTATAAACGGGAGAATTACCAGGGTCTCAGATAGGTCTCTCGTTAAGACCAAAGTAGTTTGCAGATAAGTTTATTTCAGGAGAAAAGACCAGTCATTTTGATAAGCAGCAGAAAAGGGTGGGTTTCCCTTATGTCCTCTAGCTCTTTACATATCTGTCCGTGGAACAAGCAATCAAGAATGGTCCCATTTAGAAGGGCTGTGAAGACTGATGATTCAACTAGATGCGCTCGTGTTAGCTTCTCTGGCTGTCTCGCTGTTCGATCAGTCATGCGTTCACAGGCTACAAAGCCTGTTTAATGGCTGCTGTTTGATAGGGCAACGCATCGCAAAGCTAAAAGCGTTTCCAAAGATTTAATTAAGTCGGTCAACCAGTTTAACGGACCTTTAATCACCTTTGGAAAACGAGCTCATATACGGGAAATCTGTCAGTACGATTCCTTCTATGGGCTGCAGAGGTCCGTGAAATCGGTCTGAATACTTGTCTCCTCGGAGTAAATAGATGAGGGATCCGACCACTTCAGTTCGTATACCTTCGGAGGAAATATGTAGGGTTTGCCGTGCATACAGTGTGCAAGGTTCCACTTTACTTTGAACGGGACGAAGTCAGAGAAAAATGTATGCTAACTGATCTCTATAGATGGTCGGTGCAAAATTCGTTATCTGATATTTTTCATTTAAGATATTATTAAATGCTGGAAAGACTGCTAGTTTTCCGGTTCCAACTCACGGATAACTGCAAGAGCCTTGCTGAAAATGCAGCTTTTCCAGACATAAAGGTGGTCTATCTTGTTGGTAATCTGTCTACAGAGGAAGAGCTAGTCCAGTGGCTTTCAGTTTCGGAATCAAAACTGGCATAATGTATTGCTTGTGTAACATCCTTGAAATTCAACGCAACGTGTTCTTGGTTCTTTTTATTGTATGCTGTGAAGATGGCTCTTTGACCTAGTAAACTAGATAGGCATAACAATCATTCAGCCAAGGCCACCTTCAGCCATAGAACTGAAAAGCAACAACGGAAACCAGTCATCAAAAGAAGTGCAGTTTGTTCAGTTTAAGGAGAGAGCAGCTAAAGAGGCCTACCAAAGGTGAGGACTCCACACGATAATTGATCGCATGATGTAAAAGAAGTTTCATCCGACAAACTAGCTCCTTTTTAGGAGACCTTCCTCCGTAGAAGCCATAACTTTTACTTCACTTTTACTGATTGCTTCAAGATTCCCTGATGATCTCAAAGTAAACCTTGTTTTGCAATCTATTATGTGCAACTCATAATGTTTCTGTACGAAACAAAGCTCCAAAAATGACAACAAAGAAGCTTAAGGCACTGTATAGACGAAACACACTACTCACAATGTTCCTGAAAGCTGTTCGACAACACACGACAGGTTTCAGCCTTCTTGGATCTCATCAGGTAGGTGCAGTCCTGCGAAGACTATATTTGTATGCAAATGGGTGTATTTATCAAACATGAGACGCTGTTTAGAAGCTCGACAAAGTACATACCTTTTAACAAACTAGCACCACGACCTAATGGTTGGCTACCATGTTCCAGTTTGCTGAAAAGTCACTATGACTGGTCACAAAAATAATTGTTTTGCCACAGCACGTCACCGAGCTGAAGCACTCAGATGAGTCATCGGTACGATCGACCGGCTTCCATTTCGTGTGAAGAACAAAAACTAAAGTTTGCTGCACCACAATTTTGGTCAGTGACTGTTAGCATCACGCTTCCCCCGGCTTGAAAACAGCAGGCAAGATTGTTAGTCTGACAGTCTGAGTGCAAGATATTCGGACAATGTGGCCATGACCGAGGGACTGTAAAGAGATCCATCTTGGATATGTTGAATAACCCAAACACGTCTGACATCGACCCAACTCATCCTTAAATATGAAATGGCTTAATGGAGGCAAGACTAGAGAAATAAGACATCAGAGGACATTCCTTTAACTTTGAAATCTATTGGGGTTGGAATTCGCAAGTCCGTTATCTGAATTGATGCGCAGGCGATTCCCCTAAAGAATGGACTGATAGAAAACACGGTTAGTATTGCATGTAAGCGTGTACTAGATAAGGAACTGGCGCGCTGAAGCAGAAGTGGACAGCTGGACATCCGTACATTTGGTACAAAGATTATGCGTCCCAAACTACGATGCCGGTAATGGATTCAGAATGAGGAACTCGTGTGAGCCTGTTTTACTAATTCCAGTCAAAGAAACTTGCAACTCAGTATAAATTCTTGGTGATTAGTCGTGAATAAAAACGGTATTAGTTAGTCATATAGAAATTCGGTAAGAACAATGTAAGTGTAGCAAAAAATTGGTGATTATCTATAAAACCTACTCATGTTTGCTGTCATAACGCTAACCTGTTGGTTTGGTGCTAATGGTTGTGTACTTTTAGTGAGCACACTAAAACATTTGGATTTCACTGCCAGTAAAAGTAACCATTTGTTCATAGTCCGGGAGACCAACCACTTTCGAAACACAAAATGGAACCTACGGCTCTCGGTTGCACAGCTCGCTGTTGTTGTGGACTTGGTCATGGTGAGAAATTTTCCCGGTGACATTAACAGACAACTCGCAAAATGTTGAAGTGTGACTGGGGGATGCAAAACAAACAGGACGATGCACCGCCTACTTTTCGGCCAAATTATCTTATAAGTACGAATGAGATAAAGTGGTGCGAGTAGAATCACTCTACAGTAACACTGCCTGAGTAAGGGCCAGAAAAGCAACAAAAAAGAATACAGTAAACAACCCACGTTTAAAATGAAGATGTAGACATTCGTCGGAATATCTCCCTAGCTTCAATCGACTGGCATGAGCTGATATGTGAAAGCAAACAAAATTCATTGGCACATGCTACTTGTCTCGTTGCCATGGCGACGTAGGACAACGAATAAAACAATAGAACTTTCGAAACAAAAGCCGTTGTTGAGTTTACGGTAGGGACAGCAGTGCATTATCATAGAAGGTGATTTCAGAGAGGAAGACGACAAGTAGGTTTGCAAATGAACATACATGGCAACCAATCGGTTGCTTCGAGAATATCACCTGTTTACACCATTCTAACTAATTTGTACGCTCTTTTCTCAGGTGCGCTCTATTTCAGAAACGAAACAACAAAAAATGGAAAGGTAACAAGACGATCCTAGCGAACCAGTTAATAAGACCACTGAGTGAAGTTACTGGAAGCAGGTCGACAGAGACATTACCGAAAACAAAAGTCTGGATTCATCTCATTGCATGACATATTCAATCACTCACTAAAGTGTTGCAATACTGAAGTCTTGAAATAAGAAGATCCATGTAAGTCGGACCGAGGTAGGACCCTGGATATCCATTGATGTTCTCAAGCTCTTCAGTGCACTGATCGGACAAGTTTGAGTTAGAATCATGAACTGGGTTTGCAGGGACATCTTTGTTTTGCAACTCCTCATCCACTTTGTTTGTTTGTACCTCTTCCGGCATACGAGTAAGTAGGAAACGCAAAAGCACAGGGAGTAGGGCGGATTTTGTAGTGTGTAAAATCAGCTGCTTCAGGTAGACTGTTGCAGTGACCACGTCTTCTACAGATGACTTGAAAAAGAAAGAGAAAGAACAGATTAAAGTCTGCAGGGTTATTTCCCTTCTATGAGCTTAAACTGCATTAACAGTATGCCATTATACACTGATGATTGCCCATTGGCACACGCACAGTTCCTGATCGATTTCACGAGCAAAACAACCACGTGATCAGCTAGTTCACTTCAGTTTATCGACTATAAAACATGTACCGAGAGTACTTTGCTTACAGTTGCTACAGTTTCGGTCACCAAACGCATGGGTGACATAGCCACCTAATAGAAGCGATGGCACAATCAGTTGGCGTTGAATCGTTCAAATGGGCAGCTATGCAGCAGAGGTTTCGGCTTGGACGCAGGAGCACCATTGATTGTGCAACTGAGCCGTGTCTGCCAGTGAGCTGAGTCCCAGCGCCCATATCCAGGGTGGTGGCGGTCTTCGACTTTAACGTTTACTACTTTCACCATCGTTTCCAAGCCGTAGACTGCCCGCCTCCTGGTCATTCCCACTTAGCACATGCATAAGCAAAATGACCGTTGTGAGATAGATGGCCTTCCCACAGGTGAAGTAGATGTCATAACCAAAGTCACCTATAAAGTGGGGGTGGCTCATCCATAGCGTAGGAGTCTATTCCTAAGATGATCTACCGTACCTCAGCATTACTAATACGATGCTCATACAAGGTTGAGCCAATGCTTCGGAAACACCGATGATCAATCACTGACAGTTTTAGCAAATCCTGTGTACGTACACTCCACGAGTTGGTCCAGATAGCAGTACGGATCAGACAGTTGCAGAGTATGCTCTGTCCTTGACAGAAAAAGTGACGTTACGTGGGTGTCATAAACATCGAAGGTTGGAAAAAGCTTCTCTAGGCTTCCCGATTCGTTAAATATCCAGTCTCCAGACGGTCCACCGGAACAAATGCCCAGGTAAATAAATATACCTTCTGCGTCTGCAAGCAAGAGGTTTGGGCTTGATTCCACTCAGTATTGTAGCAGTACTTTAAACGTTACATGTATGAAGCGAATGTCAAATAGGGCGAAGAATTACCTAGGCTATTTAAAACGACATGCCTAGTTGCAGATGAAATCTGACGAATTCATGTCCACTGTTAAAACAGTTGCCCTCCTATGGATGAAAATGTTGGTAGCTCAGGTAGGGTAGATGGTCGTCCTCCTGTTTCGGTGTAATTATTCTCGCGAATGTATACCAAGGAAGGAGCACTGGACTCGAGTCCCACCTATATTAGAGCTCATCAGTTAGTCCATATCCCTGGCCGTGCCGAGATATGAACTCCGGATATCCGACAAGGCGAACTTTTAACCTCTACTCCAGCACCGCGAGCTAGACGCACCTGAGTTATCAAGTGTGGACAGGCAAAATAGTTAAAGTAGTTTAGTTTGTCCTAAACTGTTTGACGTGCACAACAGGACTGGGGTATTGTACATAACGTACGGAGACAGAAGGGAAAATTACAGTTTCGGTAAGTGAATAATGTTGCCCGAATCGACAGAAAGTAGGGCACTGAAAGATGCAACGTGAATCAGATCATTTGTGAACAGTAGGGAAGGGTTATTAATTTGTGTATCGGCTTATATACAGAACTGGTCGGTGGACCCATTGAAGGGAGAAAAGGGAGTGTGGGTAAGGGCCGTTAACAAAGAGCAGCAGCAGTGAATGGCACTCTCCGGCTTCCCAGGCCGAGGAAAGGAGTTTGCTTGATGTACCTCACTTTGAGCCATTGACCTAAAAGTTTGACGCACAAGGCAGTGGATAGCGGGGTTTACTTTGAGAGCCTTGTCCTGCTGTGACGATCAAACAGGCTGATCAGTTTGGATGCAGAAGGAGGGGTGCGCTTAGCCTGAGGCTACAGAAATTAAGGTACGAATTCTGCTGCGCACAATGGATTGGTATCGAGCTGCATCGGACGCTTGGTAGGCTTCGATTGTATTTTGACTGTATTGGATAATCCAACGGCGACCGTGGCCAACCGATGGGGGATCAGAGTACACGACCGTCATTCTCTCACCCGCTTTTTTCCAGGGAATATGGTGGTCACCTAGAAGTAACACTTTGTTATCCTTGCACACATCGCAGAGGACGGTACGACTTCACCTCCAAACCACTTAATAGTACGGGTGGTACGGGTAGTACAGGTTACGCCGCTCTTCATCTGGCAGTTCCTCTATGGCCTTTTTGGCATGGTTGCATTCTGTAGAACGGAAGTCTAGTTAATGTAGCCCGCAAGGTCATTAAAGCACTCAAGTCCGGGTGTCACGTCAAACTGGGAGCTTTTGGTAGGAATCTTCCAAAACAGCTAGCAAGCCTACACAACTTTGTCAGATGAAACGAAGTGATGAACTGGTATGGACTAACTTTACGCAGGACCCGAAATGTGCCCAAAAATGTGCTGGAACCAGAGTTAGCCAGCACTCGGAAGTCCGAAGAGCTTCTGGGTTCACAGTTCGTCAACCAGTTTGGATTAACCGGAAAACAACCTAAAATCGTGATTCTCTCCCTGTAGACGAATGCTAGCGAAGGACTTCGATACCAGTCAAGTTGTTATCGCTAACTTTTAATAAATACATATGATGAGTCAGAGAAACACACGCAGCCCAATTTTATTTTTACCACTTAGAACTAACCGATTCGGTCCACGTCAATTATGCAAGCTGTGTATTACGAAAATCCATCAAATGTGTGAAAGTCACTGGAAAAGCTAATCTTCCAGCAGTGGGTGTTTTACATGACTTACTTGAGTCCTACATTACGTGTCGGAATACTGGCAACTGACCAATTGGTGGTCAGTTGATAGTGAGAAAGGTGTGAATCTAGAAATGCAGGGGACAACTGACGGTTCTCTGGAAAAAGTTTACTTCGCCTATGCATTACGTCGGTGTAAGCAACTTCGTACCGTTTTGGACAAAAGATCCAAACGTCTCTACCTCTTTATTAGCGCAGTGAAGAATATATGCCAATTTGATGTCTTACAACAGGCATTGTTAATTTTTCAGAAAACACCACTTAAAAACCGGTACTCCAAAACCCCATGAAGACGAACAAAACCTAAAACACGAACCATTAGATGAACGGCAGAGTACTCAAAGTTCCCGTCCAAAGGCGAAGAGCAGGTTGATTTAACAAACCCGAGTACGTAAGGTGCTCTAAGAAGAAAATCTCACGCAACCGAATTTCGCTCGTAATCAGGCACCTCGTATACCTTCATATCACACAGTGCCACTTCGCACACAAAACACACTAGCATATTCATTTTCTTGCTGTTATACACCAGAAAATACTGAACGTAACACTAGACAGCTAAGCACGGAAGACAGATATAAACTGCATTGGTTTGGTAGCAGAACTAGAAAAATAGTAAATAGTCTTAGACTGCCGTGTGTAGTGGACACTGACCACACCGCGAGTCATGGGTTGACCTTCCGAATAAGTTACAATGCGCTGTGTGATCATCTCCGATTGATACGACATTGGGCAATCACTGTGACTTAGGCGGTTTCTGACCGAGCTAGAAAGCGCTAGCATGTGCGTTAGGTCAGAGTTCTTTAATACATCTGTCTCCATCTCCAAGTGAACAGGTGAGATTGGTAATGCCACTGAGATGAGCGATCGCAGTCCCAGATCATCCCACTGGTCACCTGGATCCAGCTGTCTGGTGATCAATGGACAGTCTTGTCATTGGTGTCTTCTTGAATTCCAACTGTGTTGTTTACAAAATAGTAGTAAAAGTACTAGGATCAGGAACTGTCTCGAAAAATACGTCTGTCTGCCAACCATTCATCTTGCTTCAAAAATAAGAGCCATCCACACCCAAGTCTCCTTCTAACTTCCCCATAATGTTGTCTGCTTTTTATCCACTCACAATACTGTTCCAGACACTGTCTTTATGCCCGACACATTTTTCATTGGTTCATGTCGGTACCTGTGCACAGAAACTGAATATTCTCGGAGTACCTAACGATCTGGGTGATCAGTCAGTAGAAATCGGAGCACTTTCATGAAATAATATGTTTTCTCTTACTTACCCGTCATGGGACAGTGAATTCTTGAATTCCTTTTCGGGCTACTGCGAATTCCTTCTTCCAAATCGTGCCAATGGTGAACAATGTCATTTGAATAATTCAAATCCACTCATTTTTATCCAACGAAAATCCATTTCAATCATTTGTAATTTCAGCGGATGTAAACCATTCATTCAACTCTCTTCTGAAGGTGTATTCTGACCAACCAATGGAACCTTCCTATCTCCAGTGGTTTTAAAAACAAAGGACCCCAGAAAAACTACAGGACACAAATGATGACTAATCTCAAACTGGGGAACCTTTGAACTTGAGGTACTAATAACTTCGATGTGTAGCCTTCAAAAGCTTTCACTTCATAAAAGTTCAGCCGGGAAACTGTCCACCGGATTTCTTGATCAGCAGATTTCACTGCAGTGCATGTGATGCTTTTGTCGGCATCTACTAGTACTTTCAAATGTCGTGTCTACCAGTCGGCGGTAAAATGAGCCATCTTCCGATTTACAGTTGGCCGGAATAAACTGTTGCTTTACTCGTATACCGTGAACGACGCTCTTTACCTTGAGGCTATCCGTTGGCTCAAGGGCGTACGTCAAGCAGCTGACTGTGATAATCATCGTAGTCATTGTTTTATTCACGCTTTATCTCTGATGGCGTCGACTAGTAGAAAAAGTTGCAGCCGTTTGCGATGTTTAATCAGGACGGACTTTGCAGCCACTCCACTCTCGTCGGAAAAAGGTACTGGTCTCAACAACTTATTTGGGAACCTTAATTCTCGAGCTAAAGTGGGCTGATTCGCACCGCTCATGCACGACCGTAATCACGGTGTCCGCGGAATTTTTTGTGCTCGTTTCACGGGCATCACTTGTGTGAGTGCGGACCACACGACGTTATCAATCCCGAATAAGTCAAAACACTACAGTTGATAAGATGATGGCTCTTATCAAAGGAACTTGTGCTCGTGGATTGTAGTGA